GCCTTATGCTAGATGATAAAAAAAACTTCTTTTATATCTTTCTTTCTTTGTTTTTTGGAGGTACATATCTGCCGCTGCGTGATCTTACAATTTGTGTGGAAATGGGGGGTATAACCTCCCTTCCATTATGTTATACCTATAAAATAAATTGTGAAAACTCCTCCTATTATGAGCGTGATGTACCTATTGTCTTAGGGCTCAAGCCCGAAAAGTAACTCATTTTGTCAGTCCGCTTCACATTTACTACTGGGGGAAACTTCAGCCGTAACTGCATATCAAGGGGCCAGCGCTCTCAGAACACGACATTTTTAGGTCGCTGTTATACAATACGTGGCGTTGTTGGCCTAGTGGTTAGGCTACCGGACTCGTAATCCTGATGTTGCGTGTTCGGAGGTTCGAGCCGCGGGCCCGACGTTGTGTCCTTGGGAAAGGCACTTTTCACGAAATTTCCCCACTTCACTCAGGTAAGAATATGGGTACCCGGCCAAAGACAGTGAAAGATCTTGTAAGCATGTTAGTGTTTTAGCGTCTCTAAATGGCTGCTTGCTCTGTATGCTTCCCAGGAAGTTGATATTGATTCAGAATGCTCTCAGGTCTGCTGGGGTAATAGTATAGATTGTGAAGCGCATAGAGCTTGCTGTTGAGCGGGGATTTGCGCTATACAAATGCTGTTATACAATACGTTAATCCCTCCTTGGTAAATTCTCGTGACGCTAGGAAACGGAGCTGCCCGTGAAGTTACGTCCAGTTGTTTCTGCATCCACCAACATTATGTTGTTACTGTTGTTGTTGTTGCTGTTGATGTTGTTGGTGATGGTTGTGGTGGTGGTGGTGTTGTTCTTGTTATTGTTGTTGGTGGTGGTGGTTTTGGTGGTGGTGGTGGTGGTGTTGTTGTTGTTGCTGTTGTTGTTGTTGTTTTTGGTATTTTTGTTGCTGTTGTTGTTGTTTTTGGTGGTGGTGGTGGTGTTGTTGTTCTTGTTATTGTTGTTGTTGTTGTTGTTGTTGTTGTTGTTGTTGTTGTTGTTGTTGTTGTTAGTGATTAAAAGAGCTGGAATTCGCCTTAAAGTGCCTGAGGGATAAAATTAGACATAAAACGGCAGCCAAAATCTGGTGACTTCCAAAGCTTGAGTGTCATTATAAGTGATTTAAACAAGTAACAATAAATATAGCAAATTACGGAGTTTGACTTTTAGTGACTTATCCCCCCCCCCAACCACTCACACACCCCACCCTTCCCCAACCTTGACCACACTTCCCTAACCCACTTCTCCCCCACCAAATCCCAACATCGATGAAGGTAGGAAGAGCAGGCTGATTGACCCCATCAGACGCTACAACAACAAGCTGATGATGGAGACAATCACTCATCAGCATGCCCACACTGAAATGGACCCTCATGAAGAGGGGCGAGGAAGCATGGAGCATCCCGACTTCCTTAGACCCCAGTTCTAGATTTTAAGTTCAAGTTCAAAGTTCAAAGTTCCGAACATCACTTCCCCCTCCTCTCCCTCTACCCCC